CATCTGATGCGAAGCTGAATCCAGCTGCCAGCAGAACCAGCTGGGTTAGGAAAGCATTTTCCTGGGCTCTCAGTCAGCGTGTCTTCTCTTTTAGTCATCGTCTCTGCGTCAGCATCTCTTCCTCGTGTAATTGCTGGTTTTTCACTGTCTGTCAGTTGTGTTCTGCAGTCAGTGATTGGAACCATTGACCTTTTTTGCATTTTTCATCCTCGAGCAGGGTTCGCTGTGAAAGGTGACTAAGGATACACACTCTTCACACTCACAGTGGAGCAGTGGTGACCTGCTGACTGCACTCTTGATAAGCCTCCTCCCTGAGAACAACCAGCATCTGAAGGCCCAACGAATGGATTTGTCCTCTAGTCTCAAGTAATTCCTAAAGAAGTCTTCAGCACTGTGATCAGGAGGGAAAGTTAACAGTAAGATAAAATATTTTCAAAGTACACTTTTGCCATACCATATCTGTGAACACAGTTTTCCTTTGTAGAAGAACCTTAAAGATTATTACCTTCAATTTAAGCCCTGAATCAGGCCTCTACTGTCTATACTTTTAAAGTTCCTACAGATTTTTTGGGGGGACATCATTCCAGGTGGAAATTGCCTCTGGAGGTCAGTGACACTTGGGAGTACTAAAAGGATTACATACGTAGGAAAAATGAAAATGTAATAATGGTGTTCCTCAAAATAATCAGCCCAAAGTAATGTTGAAAACATACATAAGTGCAATATGAAGTTGGCTTTTGCAAGTAATCATGTGAATTACGTCTTTTACAAATCGGTTGTATTTTCATCCCAAAACACTTTACATCAGTCAGCTTTTGTGTAGTCTGCATTCTAATATTCATTATTTACCACATTTTTCCTTCTTTAAGGGAAATCATCATTCAGGTAATCGGTAATCCTATCATTGTAATTGTTTTGTCAGTGTCCAGTTAATTAACTCACTGTAGGCCGAGTGATGTATAATTAATGCAATTCTACTCCGCCCCCCGAGATTCGATCACAGTTGTTCACAGAGCCGCACAGCGCCACTGCTCAGACAAAGGAGGAGGATTCTGCACCCTCTGGATTTGAAGGCAGTGACGTCACTCCGGTAACTCCTTCAGAACACTGAGCCCAGCTATCATAAACAGAAGGGCACAAGTCCTACAGCAATCAGTCAATTTAGGCTCCTTTTACTGTTCTTCCATATCACATCATCTTCAAGAGTCCCAGAAATGGAAAGCATCCAAAAAACCTTTCAGTGTTCAGTTGCTCTGAACAATTTTCAATGTTGTTACTCTAGGTCAGGGCTGTTCAACCTGAGGCCTGTCCAATACACTCCATTCCCGAATTTTAATATAACCAGTTTCGAAATTGCCATATTGATTCAGGTGATTATCATTCTCCACAGGAAAATAACTGAATGGAACAGATTGGAAAGCCTACTAGTTGAATAGCCCTGCTATAGGCAATTCTTTGACACCTCATACTCTTGTTCTACATTTAGATTAATTACATTAATTTGCTTAAGTTAAAAGTGTGGTATTTACGCAGAGGTAAATGACAAGAATGGTTAAAATCATTCTGAAGCTTTTAAGTAAGGATTATATATAGAAAAGATTATGTCGTACTCTGACATAACCCTCCCAGGACAGGCCCTGGCTCACCGCAGACATCCTTAGGGTGAACTGCAGAGGTTCTGGATAATGAAAGGCTGGATTATATCTTACCTCAGCAACAGGACCCAATATTCTCAATGTTATTCCTTTGACAAGTTCACATATTTAACATTCGTCATGAAAATGATGGTCAAATGTTACTGTTGTTTGTTTTCTAGAAACTTTTTTCTTTGGAAATGAACTGTTCACCATTAGATAGAGACACCAATGTTTGGCTGTAAAACTCTTTAAGTCTCCGAATACTGGCATCCATGCCATAAAATCTGTTTACCAGCTGCTGTGTTGCAATGTCCAAATGAGTACGGATCTGACTTCAAACCTTTCCCCCAGTGCTTTCATCCTTGCTTCAATCCTGAAGACGACTGCAGGCCTCCTTGAATCCACAGTTAATGTCCTGGTTTTCTCTTCTGTCAGGGAAGTCATGGCCTGTTCCATTCTCTGACATTATCGCCTACATGATTTTAAGGAGAATTATCTTGTAATGATTTACAAGAACAGTTTCAGGACGAATGGGGATCTTTAAAGTTGTTGACTGTTCATCACCCGTAGCTGGATCACCATCACTTGGACACTGCTCAGAGCCCCCTGAACAAGTGCTTCTCCCATTGAGACACCTGGGAGCCCACTGACAACTTCTTTTTGTCAATAAGCTTTCTCAGTGACCAATCCATGCAGTCACCACCATCTCAGGCCTTTCCTTTACTACAGCAGGAATGTTGTAGAGGGTCGCAGTTCCCAAATCACAATTAAATATTTCATATTGGGAGTAAACCTTTCAGTATTTCTTTGTCTCTATTCTGAGGTTCTGGTTTAACTAGAGAGGCTCTTATATTTATAAAAGGCAATGTAGTAGGAAGATGCACTGAGATGCAACAAAAACATTTATTAATCTTTCACTACAGACATTATACAGTATATTTAAATAAGGTACTGAATTGTCTTTGACCGAAGAGAAAGAAAGTGTTGGTTGCTTTCTGAATTCTAGGACTCCTGTACTGAACAAGATCTCCCTTCCTCTTGGACTGGGATAATTTGACAGGAGTCTGCAGTTGAATGGCGAGCGAAGAGTCCCGTTGACTCTGCTTCCCTTGAAATTCCCCTGAGAGAATGGTGATAGCACTGCCTTCTCCTGCTACGGGTAGTTTCCTCAGACAGAAGTGTTCTTAGCCAAAAGCCCAAAAAGTTGAAGAAATATGAAGTTGGTTTTAAGTGAATAAGAGCCATCGATTATCTTTTGTGGGATTAAATGGAAAGATGGTCTAAAAAGCCATGTCCGTGACAGTTCCAGTCAGTTATTTATAGTTATTTTTTGTGATTTATAAGTGCAACTTGTTGCGACAGTACGGTGTTTACAGTGACCATTCCTATTGCAGTTTCTGAACACCTTCTTATTTTAGGAGCGTGAAGCATCAACATTTATTTCCTTTGAGAAGCAACCAAAAAATGTGATGAGCAAAGTTCATATGTCTGTCAGTTGATTCCTGCTTTGAGAAAAGCTGAGTAAATTCTGACAATTGCATAGTACAGTACTTCTTATTTATTTATTATACGTAACCTGTTTGCATCAGGTGAAGGCTGAAAATTACTTTTTATTTTAGGCCAGGTGGTCAATTTGTCTGCTTGCTTGTTCTGGAATTGTCAATGGAGACAATTGGTTGCTATGACAATGGTCAAAAGGTTAAGGTGAGGGTCAAACATGTGACTTCCACATGATAAGCACATGGTGAGGCAATGTATCCAGATTATTTAGAGGACTTCATTGTCTTAAACTAAGTGGTATTAATACATGCAGGAACGCACAAGGACTGGCTTGTGATAAGAGAGAACACAAAGAGAAAATCAGGAAAGGTTGCCCATGTTGACTAAAAAGATTCAATCAAGACTGAGGCCGAGAACTTTTGTGGCATGCAACACAAAACACTCAAACGCATTTCACTCTGCACTTAACATTTACTGATATACTACATCGTCAAACCGTAAGGAATAACTGGCACTCATTAGATAACTAATTAAAAACCATCCAATGAACAGCAAGGAACAGATTTTTAAATGCTCCACTAACAACCTCTTCTCCTCCGGATGTGACTGATGCCAAGTCCAGCACAGCTGTTCTCCGATGCAGTGCCCTGCCGAGGGTGTGCCGGGCTCCTGCTCCCCCTTGCCCAGGCACAAGATGTGGAGATACGGAGACTGGAAAAGGGAATCCAGGGAGACCGTCTCCTTTCAGGATAAAGGCTTAGATATGCTGCCAGGTTCTGACGTAACCTGACCTCTTTGAAAAACATTACACCATGGCCACACTTGTGTGTGTTGCTGCAGGAGAGCACCGAGGAAGTGTGGGTTACTGATTGATGGCGAGTGGGACTGATGCAGCATACAGACAACCTAAACAAGGCCTCAATGCCCTCAGGCAGCTGTTTCTCACTCTAGGACAGACCTGGGAGAAAACTCCAACACTGGCCTTGTGCGTCCACTCTTAGGATGGATGATACACCATTCTGAGGAGAAGATCTTATTCATGCATTTCAGCACAATGATAATTATTTAAATTGAGATTTTTGTTGGTGGTGCCCTCATGCCCTCATGCGAGCTCATGGAAATCATTGGAATAGCCTAGGCATGTTTGACTGTGGCTTGGGCTACACTGTTCCCCCGAGGCCACACTCCTGGGTGAGAATCCACTGGGTTGGGTATGAGCAGGCCACGGGGGCTCCTCAATGGGAGGTGCAGCAGTGCGTCCCTATTTCTCCTTTGGGGTACAGGGGAGTTTGCAGCACAGGAAATGGCTCAGACAGGAGGTCCTGTGGGCGAAGAGCATGCACTGGACAGGGGGCACAGCTGCAAGACAACCTGATGGACAAACCCAGTGCCGATCCAACAGGATCCAAATCGTGAAAGGGGGAAATATGTTTTGCTTCATCAAGTGTTACAAAAGCAGCACCACCCTTTAATCGTTGTGCTCCATACATGCTGTAGTTTGGTGTTGGCCCCTAGTGTGTTATCAGTGAAAGATTTAACAGCTCTGTCAGGTATGTCAGTCTGGCTCACACAAAGAGCCTCTCTGCAAGGCACCATCACTCCTCTGATGCTTTCTAATAGCCATTAACGAAGAACAATGGATATCTGCTCCAGGACACCATTTGTCGTAAGCCTCTGTGTACAAAGCGCACTGTTTGGAAGAGAACGGTGAGATCCAGTTTGTCATCTCTCTTTCCAAAGCTCTAAAGCAGAGACCTACAGAAGTTGGAAGATGGGCCTTTGAAGAGTGGTAGATCAGAAGACATGCTGTCAATCCTACAAACAAAAGACTCAAAAAAGGCTAACACGAGTAATGACATAGTCTGAGCAAACAGGGAAAGTTGTATTTTCAAATCTTGCACTGTTAAAAAACATTGTCAATGCCAATGCGGTACTTGGTCTTTCCAGTTTTTGCATATAAGTTTGATATATATTGTGTGAGATTTTGTTCCTGTGTTTGTGAGATGTTTATTATACACAGCACTCTCAAACTCAATGTCTACTCATAACCTAATCATAGGTTAATACTAATGCAGTAGCTTCCGATCTTAACAAGATGTTCTTAGTACATCTGGTAAAAAATATTTTAACATTCAAAAAAGGACTTACTTGAGACTTTACCTGTTTATAGTACATTTCTATTTCTTTTTTGTAGTTCACCCTTTTCACAAATTCTAGATACTCCCGAAATTGACAGGTTCGGGTCCCTGCAGGTCAGGCCGGTTCCTGGCTGGATGCAGCTCGTCCTCTATATGAACACAGAACAGTTCAGGAAAAGGGAAGAATCCTTTCTCAGGTGCCCACAGTCCTGAACCAAGGGTGTCCGGGCAGTATCGTAAGAACACCACCGCCTGTGTCCCAGTATTCGGCTTAATTCCAAGAACTCGCCATCTTCTGGAGGGAAGAAAGCTTTTCTTATCCAATCTCGTTGTGAGTGTTTTTCGTACCGATTGGCTCAGCGCCTTTACCCTTTCTTTGCTTATGACGAGTTGTCTTGCTTGGGGTTACCCTGCTCCTGACAAGTGAAACAATGTCCTTTTTATGAATAAAGGGACCAAAGCTGAAAGCTGCAGTCACAACACTCAATTGTACTGTCCTGCCATTTCCTCTCTTGTGTGGAATTACTGACTTTAGTCCAAAATGTCCATTTTGATGAGTTGCTTACGCATATTATCTGCTACAAGATTATTATTTTTTTAAATCTTATCACACCACATTGTGTTTTCTTTCATTTTCCTTAAATTAGTATATGGACCCAATCCTTTGGGGTCTCTTCCACTGCAGTCGTCATGTCATCTCTGGTGCCTAGCTTTGTGACATCTTGAAGATTGCTGGTTACACAACATATCAGGAAAACGAAGGCAGCATCAGTTTCTACAATGATCTCTATTCATGGCAACACCACAATACAAAGTATAACTCATTTCAAATTTAAAATTGCTGTTGCACCAGAGGTCAGAACATATTAATAAATTTTTCTCCTCTAATAAATAGATTAGATTCCTAGTTAATCTTATGGTACTTTTCTCGTTCTGACTTTGCACTTTATAAGAGCTCTGCTTCCTTAGAAAGGAACCTGCACCTCACATGCACACGTTCAGAGCCCTGTCATATGAGAGTGAACAGCCTTGACATTCAACAGTTATGGCAAAACACTGAACACAAACCCGAGCAGGCACAAACACATTGGTGCGCGCTAGCTTTGTCTTAGACAGACATAGGGCCGAATTCCCACAATCCCTCAGGAGGCTGAGAGTGGTGCCATTGGCGCTGATGTACAGGTGGGAATGGAAGAAGCCCACCAGTGTCCTGCAGGGTCTTCCTTATGCTTTGAGAGAGAATTTCATGATGAAAATATAGCCATTAAAAAGCGCAGGTCAAATACCAGGTGCAAATGAACACCCAAATGTTCCATTCAAATTCTCCTTTGTGTGGTTTTACAGGTTAAACTGTTTGAGAATGCTACAACTGCAAAACCCTGAAAAAGACAGAACCGCCTTACATGTCTTAAAATGCTCACTGACACAACAGAAACTATTTTAAGATTAGTTGCAAAAAACAGTTCCTTTTATGTCATGCTTTTTGCAACAAATTTTTATTTTATAGAAATTAAATTGCAATCACTCTCACATTATTTAAACATCCTATCTATTTTCACATTTCTTTTAATATTATTAAAATATAAAATTATAGTAAGCACCCAAAGAAATATCATTGAAATGTCATTATTACATATTCCGATACCGTATTTATCACTTCAGTTAGTTCATGGATGTGACATGAAACCTGAAGCGGAACCAGAAATCCTTTAAAAAATTACAAAATAAAAAAGGAACAAATTTGAAATTTCCAAGACTTTTTTTCATACTGCAGTTTTTTTTAACAGAATGAAGCACTGTATTTAAAAAATACACCATGCAAAAGTAGACATAGACTTCAAAACTGTAAATCTTGACACAAGTACATGCATTCATTTTTATTCACAAAACCAGCCCAAATTGCTAAATTAATACAAACATCACTGTTGTTAAAGATGTAGATCTGCTAACCTCATGAAAATAAAATCTCAGTGCTTTAGCTGCTACAGAACCTCAGCAGTACGGTATGCAATTCTTGTATCTGTCAATATTTATCAAATTGACGGAGAACAACAGTAAAACCCTTGTTTCTGACGCAATAAACTAAATAAGGCTGCCAGTTTCACAAAAGAAAAACATTGGGTAGCCAGGAGCTTCCAGCAACTCTTCCCAAGAGCAGGGCTTCGTGTTGGGCAAGCACAGCGATGCTGTGAAACTAGTAGTAGTTCCTTTTACCTTTTATCAGAAAACAGGATTCTACATCTTTACCTTGTTTTTTTCTTTTAATAACAAACATTGAGCAATTTCAAAACTATAGATTTATGACGTAACAAAAAAGAAACCAATCAAAAATACAGAACATGGTAAGTAAAGAACAATGGAGCTAAATTACAATAGTGCTTGTCATTAGCCACTAGTTTTAAAATATAGCTGTAAATTTACATTCTCTACACAAGTACTGTATCTTTCCACACATAAACGACAAAAACACCAAACACAGAAATTAGTTGATTGTCCACACAGTCCGTCATTTCTGTTTGGCAATGAACAGATCCATGTCAAAAATCACTGAAAACTGCTGGAAAAGGACAAAAGGTACCAAATGGAACATAGAAAAGGAATGAAAGTTGCCATAGACTTTTATGTTTATTTTTGGTTCAGGAAAAGTAGGTGCATCCATTAATTTTTCAGCCAAATATCCTTGCCCGAAACAATACAAGCAAGCAGGTGGCATTGCACTTGATGACAGAGCTTTGGGGTTCGTTCCTCCTACTGGAACCATCGGAAGGCCGCTCCTGTCGGCAACATCACCTTCTGGAAAACGCAAAAGAGATGTCATGTCAGCACAGGGAAACTCCACACTGGCCCACTCCCTGCCGAAATGTTCCTATACATGTGGACAAAAGGACACCCTCAAAAAGAAAATGCAACAGAATGAGCATCCAGCTCACAAAAAAAAGTTATTGCATATCATAAGAGTCACAGGGAAACAAATAATGATTGGGGTCTTTCTGGACAGAGCACAAGAGAGAGGAGATGCTTCATAATCAGGGAGTCCTGGAATCCGCAGTCCAGCCACGATGCTGACTCGGACTCTGGATCCTGGGACGCACAGTCAGATAGTCCTCACCAGATCAGTGATCATCTTGTAGCACGAGCGACTACAAGCCCTCCTCTCACTGTGACCCTCCTGCCGATCACTTCATTCCAGCAGGTGCCTTCTGAAAGGGTCCTCTCGCTCACCCCTGAAACACTGCGAACGCACAACTCTGTTCTTGCGGAAGCTCAAACTCTCAGCTGCAGCTGCGTGTCTTCTCTTTCGGGGCACTGCTGACCACATGCTGTCGACAGGCTCCAGCCAGGGCAGAATCCACAAACAGAACACATCCTCCCTTGCCTGGCTGCTCTACACTGGCTACCTTCTGCCATTGTTGTCCTCCTACCCCTATAATTCTTTGCCTGTGGTGTGTGGTCTTTATGTAACATTATGTCTGAAGCTTAATGATGACTCAGCTGTGCTTTGTAACAACAATATAGCACTTTACCAAAGCCTAAAGACAGTTCTCATTGTCACCAGAGTTTGTCCTGGAAATGTTTGGGTGACATGTATACCAGTGGTAAAACAGTAGTGAGAAAGTAGTGTTAAAGCTAGAAAACATTAGGTAACTGATACATTTTTACAAGGAATGGCTGGATGAGATTATGGGAATGATCTTCTACTAGTAAATAAAGATGAAAGATGAAAGAAAAAGATGGTTTGGAACCGTAAATATGTCTTTATACCGGAAGTCATTCTGTGCACAGTTAACTAGACATCTAAACAAATTTCACTGCCAACTTCCAGCATACCAGAGTACAAAGTGATGCTGTTCTTTCCCATCACTGCCATTGCCCAAAGAAATCTACCAAACACATTTGTTTATATATTGGAATATTACCAATGTACAGGTGAATTTGAAGAAGGTCCAACGCCCTAAGCAGAATGCTCCACCTAACAGGAGGATCCAGCTCTCACCATACAGAAAAGTTTCTTCCTTATAACACATCCTTTTAATCTTTCGAAGTGCATCACAACTGCAGTGCAAGGAGCAGGATGTGTCAGATACAGGAAAACCTTTACAGGATTACAATAGATCCTTATAATAAACTTCAAAATGTTTTAAAAAACACTATAACTATTTTAAATCAATAGAAACTGATACAACACTGCAGAAAACGATTCAGGAGGTGCGAGTGAGTGGAAAGTCTTGAGCATTAGTTACTTGCTATTGCTATAAATGTGCTGGGGAAGAAGCCCCCCAAGCAAGGCCAGCAGAGCTTGAGAGGCTGAACAGAGCAAGCAAAGTACAGTATTACAACAAAGCACACCTCACGAAGGCTCCACAGCCGAAGTGCTGAGTTTCCTTTCTTTTCTTGTCAGCCTGGAATAAACCCATTACCTGTTCCTCCAGAGCAAGCAAAGTGGCCCAGCCGAGCCCCAGCACGCCACAGGAGTCAGGTTCTGAGCTGCTGCGGCCATCGTCTCCCTGAGCCTGTGCCCAGTTCGGCACAATCACACGCGCAGCAAAAAAAATGCGACTGTGCTCAGAAGTGAAATATAACACTTTGAGATCACTGGCTGTTCCCTGTTGCCTGGACCCCATCTTTCTTTTCTGTTCTTGCTTTTAGACTAATAACGGACTAATAACAGACTAATAAGGACCTCTTTTTACTCACAACATTTGCTTGGTTTCACATGCAATTCTTAGGCTTTCCAGTGACCAAGACTTCAATTATAGGAGCATGTTACAGGCACAAGCCCCAAGAGCTTTTAATCTGTCTATCTTTCACAAGTCCCGACTTTCAATAGAAGTTGAAATGAGAATTGCTGAGTCCTAAAGGAAAGGGACTCTCTGTGGTCGACCACCCCAGTCACCTGCCAGTGCCTGACCAGACTCTAAAGAAATGAAGGTGTGTTTTCATTTCGGACAGCAGTGGGCCAAGAGAAGGCTTTAACTCATCCCGAATGAGTCAAGCTGTTGAATCTGCTACTGAAATAAATGAGTTCCATTTTTCCGTTAGACTGATGTAATTAATTTACAGCCACCAAACTGCATTTCCTCCACAGAGAGAGTAGAGAGCTCAGAATGCGTATTTGAAACTTTGCATTTCGACAGCGGTTTCACATTTTCTGCTATGGCTATATAGTCAGGAGTTTCACACTCATTGTTTTCACTTTTCTCTGCACTTCAGAGTGATTGTACTGCTAACACATGCCTGTCTCACTGTCTCTTCTTTTTCTGCTTATTATAATAACAACAACAACAACAACTATCTGTTTCCTTTTTAATGTCTACAAAGTTCCAGTTCATGTTTCTATGTCCTGCTAGGACCTTTTAGGTTCACTTCCAAGTTCATGGTTAATCAAAATTTAAAAGCATCATGATTAAGGGAATCGCAAATCCAAAGTCTGCACAGAAGAAATCATAGGAATTTAGCCATAATTTAGCCATAAGAATTTGATTTTCATGTAATGTTAACAAAACTATTTAGTTTGGGCCAGGGTTAGCAGCCAGTCTGTGCCAGTGTGGATCAATACCAAGAACCATTTTGGGCCAGTATAGACCAGTTTGGATCAGTGTCAGGGGCGAGTTTAGTCCAGTTTGGGTCAGTGTAAGTGTTAGGGGTCAGTATAGGCCAGTTTGACTCAGATCCATCAGGAGGCCGAGGGCACTCTGGGACGAAGAGATTCTGCTTTAAAAAATCAGAGATAGGAGGGGTTAACCCCTTCAGGAGCCGACCAGATTCACACCCTCCCTGTCCTGAGCCACACCCAGATCCCCGCAGCACCTACAGGAGGCTCAGTTCCGCAGCTGGATGCTCAGCAAATATCCAAATGGCCCCATTCTAATGGCTGCCAGCCCCCCCTTCCTCAGTCCTGAAGGCACCTCCACCCCCGGGGTGATCAGCATTCCTGTCCTCGCCAGCAGCCCCACTCATCCCGCGCAGCTCCGGCAGGAGCTTACACGCAGGGCTTCCGGCGCACTCTTTACAGAGGAGCTGGGGGGGGGATTAATTATGCAAATGGGTCTTGGAAAATATTTCTTGTTAAACTTCGCTGGGGAAGAGCCCTGCACGGCGCTCGAGCGGTAGCGCAGGCGCACACTGAGGGGGCTCCTAATGACTGAAACTGCTGGAGTGTTAACAGCCTGTTGTGCCTCCACATGGGCAGGAATGTTTCAAAGGCAGGTTATCTTGTTAATGATTTGTAGGCCCCAAAGTAAATTTATAGCTGCTTCTAATTCGATCGGTTCAAGACTCACACTGGGCGCCCTACCCCCCCACCCCACACACCCTTTCCTGGGCCTCAGCTGCAGCTCATGTGACCAGAGCGTCTTCCTGCCACCTCGGGGGTTGTCGCCGGCGCAGGTAGACTGCAGACACTCTGCCTCCTCAAGGCCAGCACCCGCATGGCTGTGTTTGAAAAAACATTTAGGGCAGGTTCACACAAGCCTTTGTCCAAAACAACATCTCTGGAGTTGACACTGTAGTGGCTTAGGTTTATCCTTTTCTCCTGTTCCCAGTTCCAGGGTATTTTTCAGAAACAAGTGTGGTTAAAAATGTATATCATTTATTCCGATGTACTAATCAAAGGAAGCTCGTCATATTTTCTTTTCTGTCGCTTAAGGCACCACATTTTCAGCATGGAAACAATTATTCCAGACCTTTTTGTCATAATGTGAACCATGATTTTTTTTTCTTTAGCCTCAGGGTTATACACAGAAAGAAAGTGCCCCCCCAACCTCACCTCAACACTTACAAGAAAAACTGACATTATGGTATTATGGGATGTTTTCCTCTCTTGTTCCGGGTCAGGAGAATGCCGGCACTTCCCCTGAGGTCCCACTCAGAACTGTACACTATATATGCTACAAGTTGCACACCTGCATGCAAACTAAAACATAACAAAATACACTACTGTACTTGCTCAAGGAAATACTTCTGAAATGCAAGAGAAGAATAAACGCACACAAACCTCACTAACTGATTTTGTCTATTTCCCTCTTATTCCTCTACAATTATTAAAAACATAACTCCATTGCATACTTTCTTCTAAATCAGAATGGCCACTTGTAATCCCATTATATTAAAGTACTTAATAACTGAGCCCCAGTTTGATGATCGCCTGGCCTTCATTAGCAGAATTCGCTCGGTTGGTTTTGTGCGAGTGGCAGAGTGCTGCCCTCTGTCCTGCAGTCTGCAGCTCACTCCATCTGCGAGTGCGATGTGCAAACTGCATGCCATACTGCTGCTCTGTCTCCCCCTCCGCCCAGCCCCCACACTCCAGAGTGACCAACGCAACAGCTGCGCTAGTGATGCACATCCTCTGGCTGTCCTACACAAGCTTCAAGCCTCCTCATGGACACATGGGGCACAACAGTGGCTTGAAGAATGAGATCCGATATGGTGCATTTGCTCACCGTCTACAGAGCTAAATTATATCTGCTTCCCTTTGGATCTGTTTGGACAGAATGCATTTTCTAATTGGCACAGATCACCAGAAGCTAATCTGGGCAATGCTATTTAAGTCACAGCTAACTGCTGTGTGACTAGCTTGAGCATTATGGCACCCAATCTCTGACAACGGCAAACTACGTGCTGCTACAAGAATCTCAAGAATCTCCAACCTTGGTTACGTCTGGACTCCGTGTTCACCGAAACGATGCTCTAGCTGCAGTTCACATTACACTTCTGGAAAAATCGTCATGTTCGTCGGCCTGCAGCAGCCTTGGGAGAATCAGCTGTTGTACATGCCTGTTCGGGGCACAGAGCAT